TATATATAATACGTCCCTAATTACAATGCTAAGAAGACAAAGAGGTCGCGCTTGGACGGTATATGTACATCCATATATATGCGCAAATTCATAAAATCAAATAAATAACAGAGGATTTAAGGTGCCAAAATAGACAACGACGTGTCACCTTTGACATTGATCTTTATTTATTTAAGTTGTAATTCTTAAACACGAAGATATTACAATAAAATGACAAAAGTTATGTTTAACACGTTAATGTCAGATTCAAGTAATAATAATGATTTACAAAAGAAAATATTCAAACGAAGTAAAAAATGTAGACAACAAAACACAAAAAAAAAACATGTAATATGTATATATATATATATGTGTATATATATATATATATGTATATATATATATATGTACAAATATTATTAATGGGTGACGCACTTGCCGATAAAAATGTAAGAATTTTGAAATCTGGAGCTAGTAACAATATTGTCTTCTCCGTTTGTCACTCTATGATTGGTTTAAACAATTAATTACGATGCGCGACCTGATCGAATTTCAAATAAAATTAAATATCATAAATTGCTATTCAATTTATATTTCGCAAAAGGGTAGGTTGCCTAATGCCTATAACATGATGGTTCTACTTCTAGTGAAACTATTCGATTCGCGTCATCTTTATTTTTACAATTAAAGGGCAGATCATTAGAATTTGAGACATATTCTTATATATATATTGTTGGAGCGAATTATTATTAACGAGACAAATCGTAATCAACAATTGTTCAAAGCGTTTTTTTATGTTACTATAATATATCATAAAACATTGGTTTAAGACAAATGCTAGTGGCATCAATTTTAATTCATCGAACTAGTTGTAGATTTCCGAGTAAAAATAAAAACCTGAAATATCAAATTCGATAATTGGTTTTATTATAAAATGCAATTACATTAGAATAACATGCATGGCGGGGAGTTCAAAGCGAAAAATACCCATGCCATAAAGAAACAATAGCAAGTCTTCACGTTGAAAACGACCCCACAAATACTTCCAATTAGCTTATGCCTACTCTATCTATACATACGTGCATACATATATATATATATATATATATTGTTAATGCGTATTATTAGTTATATTGAAATGCATTTGCAACCATCCAAATTTATCATATATTGAGCGTAAACACTTGTATCCTTTATTAAGTTTCAATGTTCCTGTTTAAACATGAATTTATTTTCTTGAGCAATTAATATTAGACATACGATAGAACACGCATTTTTATATTCGCAAGACTGCATATATATAATCCATAATAAGGGATAACGCTCAATAAAAAAAATATAGCGTATTGGTCTGCTCTAGCAACATATCATATGATAATAATCACCATACATTATCACCCACACCAATTAGAATTTCATAATTTGTGGATGATGTATTAAATAAAAAACATTGATTTTCTATTTTCTATTTTTTTTAAATACAGAGTATTAATGTCAGTCGTCGCCTTAAATTCATCGTCTCTCCCTAGAAGCAAACTCGACAGACGAGAAGTCCTGTCTTTTTTGTTTCAAAAGAAAAGAAAGAGTAAACAAAAAAAAAAAGGCAAAACAAGAGTTGCATAAAAGCATATAATATATCACTATCAAAATTAAAATGTGTATAATCAATAAAGTCGGTAGGGCACCTAAAAGTGAAAGCAAAATTAAATTATTATTATTATAATTTCTACAACTGGCCATCCTCAATTTGCCCAACCACTCCTCTGACTCACGTCTCGTGCCCTCTTTACTTCTCATTTCCGTATTCCATACTTACATATATAAAGCACACGTACATATACATTATAAATAGTCAAATTCAACTTAACCTTCCTAAACTTGAAATATTTACATATTCTTATATGAAACTGTATAACTATTATAACGTTTTCATGGATATCTGAATTTCACCTTAAGTTTCATGTGTGCGTGTGTGTGTATCGTGGTTGCAATGATATGATACTGCATATATCTTATAATATATATATATATATATATATGTTTATTAATGAGATCACAAAAAGTTTCATGTAAGTATTCATAAGCGTCATAATATAGTTATCACCCAAAGTACATATACGTAAGAGAATCTGAAGACGGGCCAAGTGGTCGACATGCATGCCAATATGAAATCTTGCACGAGTTGTGTCTTGTAGACGCCCTCCGCTACCCTGTAATGATATTAACTCTTCAAGTGTTGCTCTCTTGAATTATAAAAACTAAGGGACCTAATCCGTACATATACACTTTTGGATATATATTTGGAAAAAAAAATGATCTCGCGCGATATGTTTATAATCACCGCCATAATCACAACCATCTTATGAAGATACTTATGATCACTATTCTAAGATCGATGCATGTTCAAAGTGGGTATTTTCTAATATTTTCATCATTATATATCAAATCGTCATAATTTAGACATTGTATCATTATCAAATAAATTGAAATCATGCCCGAGAAAAGGGAAATCATTGCACTTCAAACAGTTGGGCTAATATTTTCATCATTATATATATATATATATATATATATATATAAGTTCGTAAACACTCCTGAACCACCTCGAAATTCTAAAAATTAATAAATAAAAGAAAGACTAGGGTTTGGAACGACTCGGTTTCTCTCTTCTTATAAGGGCGACATCTTCGCACTGTCATTCCCCTCATCATAACACCATCATCACCACCTTCTCTCTCTCCCTCTCTCTCTACTGTAAGGATTATGAGGAGGCCGTTTGAATTGAGGGGAATGTTGTCTGGCTCGAGGACTCTTATCATTCTTTCGCATATATGTATGTATATATTTATATATTATAATTACTTATTTGTTGATATATCTTAACAGAAGTGTATATATATTAGTTAAACGTATAGGGTCGTCGGACCAGGCTTCATTCCCCCCAATATATCATCGCTTCCCATCTTCGGCGGACAAGTTCTGTCATCAAGATTCCGTCCGTAGGTTATCTCTTTAGTCGCACGTAAATTAAGTTTTCCTCTGCTTTCAGTTTATTTACTACTAAGTTTCTTAAAAAATATTTATATAGACGCTCTTGTTTTGTAACATGTGATTTGTCTTTCCCATTCTCCTGTCATGTGCAGAGTGTAGATTGGCGTAATTATGCAAACTTTTGAGCCCTTGTCTTTGTTCAGCCCTAATCTTAACCTTTTTTATTCAAACGGATAAATAATTTGTTCGTATTCACTTTCGTTGATGGATTTTATACATATATATAGTCACTTTTAGGGCAATCGCGACGCAGCTTAGGTATCATTGTTCCGTAAATTTCATAAGAAAGCATAAAAAACTTTAGTCTAAATATTACCCTCCAACTCACTATGCATATACTCAATAATTGATAGTCCAATGGTTGAGAGATGACAAAGTCATCTTCAAAATCTTGGATACGATTATACGGATGGAAAAGGGATGTAATTTCTAGATCAAAATAGTTCATATACAAAGACTGGTTCCGAATTTAGGGTGAATGTAGTCGGATAAAAAAAAACTTACTACGCACATATTACAAAATGTATGCAATTAAAGATGTCTCCTACATTACATACATACATATGTGTATGTGGTCGGGGCCGCTGTAACCATGCCTTGTGGGAACTTGGAGCTCTTTGACTTTGGGGAAAAGGGGAAAGGAAGATTGGAAAGTAAATAATTTATGTGAAAATTAAAAAGGATTTGATTTTTGGCTTTATGTGTCGTTCATGTCACTCCTTTTCCCATGTTATGATTGATAGGACTTTTCGACCCTCTCTTCTCGTAATAATTCAATCCCACACGCACACAATATATGTATAGATTATATGTATATGTTTTCATTTGATCCATGCATTTATGTTGCCTTGGAATCTCTGTTATTCCACCGACAAAAAAAAGGAGAGGCTTATAGGGCCTATCAGTATTATTTTCAATTGATTATAAATCTTATGTAAGCCCGCGGTTCCTGCATTTATTATGATCCTACATATATTGTATGCATGAGAACTACAGAAAGTTTCAACATACCTAAAATACAATTTGCTTCTAAATTATCGTTACAAAAATCGATGGTCCGTGGAAGATTTCTTTATCTACGGATCTCTAAATATTATTATTCTTTCATTTTGTAAATATTGCCATAATCCGAAAAATGTCATGTTTTTAAAACTTATTTAGGGTTTATGTGTGTGCATATGTTTTTTTTAGAACAAACATTTTACACATTTTCATAGCTGTCGTCGCGCACACAACATGGACATGGGCCTCCAAAACTAACCGTGGCGAAGAATTCCATAATGGGCCTTATAAGAGCCCATTGGGTTTCAATGAAATCTAAGAGCGTGGAGTTATCGAGTTTTGAGGATATGCTAAATCAAGACTCGAATTCCAGCGTCGTCACAATATATATATATATATATACCAGAACTTTCTCATTTCTTCCAGAAATAAATTTAAAACAAAACTGCGAATCGGAAACAAACTATGTTTTTTAACCCATCATTCGAGAGAAAAGCCATCCGCCCATTAGAACAAACAACTACTAAAAAACACAGAGAGCAGTTATGGTTGTCTCCTTTACAGGCAAGCGGACCGCACCCGTTTTTCCTAATCCAGTGAAACTCTACAAGGATTAATCAAACATTTCGGAAACCATGGCAGCCAAATTTCACCAAGCGGCCACAAAAACACGAAAGCCAGTAAAAGAAAGTGAATATCTACGAGCTAATCGATTTGCCCATCACGTAAACCATAAAAAGACAACAGTAACAGACAAGAAAACAAACACAGAGAGAGAAAGGAGGGACCTTTTGGATCTGTTCGGTTGTGATGTTTGTCGGAGGAAATGAAGGAACCATTGGAATCATCTGCGGAGTTTGCTGCATCTTGTGGACCTGTCTTTAAAACTTCGCCGTCGCCCAATCACCCAAACCCTAATTTCGTCCACTCAAAAAACCTCGAAATTTCACCAACTCAACTCGATCAGATGGTAAATTGACAAAAGCCCAATGCAGGAAAGGGACGTAATACTCAACAGAAATTTTGATTTCCCTGCAATTTAAAGACTTTTGGTTCGTTTGGACATCGGCGAGGTTTCTGGAACTTGAGGCAAAAAAAGTCACAGAAAACCTTTGTTGTTTTGCAAATATGATCGACTTTCTCTCACCAAACGCAGTGCGACAGATTTCGACTACCCCCCGACGAAGACACTAAGAAAAAGGACAGAAGAATGAAGTTTTAGAAAGAAGAAAAAAAACAATGGAGGTGAGGTGCATCATGGGATTGAAGATTTTGTAATTAAAAAATTTACTAACCTCCAAAATCAATCAGAAACCAATAGAAAATTAAAAGAAAACAAAGTGAGAGACGAAACGGAAAAAGGACAAAAGAAAATGATGGCGAGAAAAAAACATACTCCCATCCCATCTCATGGAGATGGACAGAACTGGTCTGAACTATCCCTAATTGTTCCCAAGTTGTCGCATTATAGACAAAAGGAATAAAGTACCGCAAGTTTTATTTATGGATCGTCTTTCGTTGGGCTTTATCTAATGTAAGTCATAACTGGGCCGTATGATTCGGCCCGAATCTATGACCCAAATTAATGGGCCTTTTAACGATTTTAGATTCTGTAGTGGTCCTGAAGGCGGGCTTTTGAAAGCGGTTGTTCCCTCCGGCCTGGACCCGACGGCCCGAGCCGACCGGGTTGGAGATGTATCTCTTCCGGGTCATGGGGCCAATCTTGGTCATCCTTCTCTTGGTGGGTTTTATCAGGAACGAAGAAGAACTTGGAGCAGGTGGGTTTATCTCACACTAGTTCTGGATCCCCCTCCGTATTGTAATCACTCCTGTCCTGTCATTGCATCATCGCCCAACACTGTTGCTCCAAAAATTTTCAGTCTCCCCCTTTCAAATTTGCAGCCCAGTCAACGTCTTAAAGATTTCTTCTCTTGATGACAGAAAGCGATTAAAGAATCCAAGAAGCTCAAGGGTTTTTATTATCAGGATGGCCAACTTCAAGCGAATCTGGCTTCAGAAAGAACAAAAATAGAAGGACAAAATCTATACAAAATCGCAATCTGTAATCACCTAAGTCTAAACCATTTTTGCTCTCATCTAACTTCGGAATCTTGGCCCGGAATGATCACTAGCCTCGGGGTCGTCGGTGTCATCGCAGACGTGAGAGAACAGGACGGAGGCGGAAACGACGACCGGGGTGAGGAAGAGGACAAGACCCGGAGGGACCATCCATAGATGACTGTTCTTGGGATGGTATTTGTAAAGCCACCATGTCAGAATCAATCCTCCACACAGACTCGTCATTAGCAAGCTCACGCATATTACGTATATGCTCTTCTTCTTCTTCTCCTCCTCCTCCTTCTTCATCATCTTCATCCATTCCAACGTCGTCACAATATATATATATATATATATATATATATATATATATATAGGAGAAATAAATGGTTGGGGTTTAATTCAAAAAATTTCAATTTATTGGGAGATTCATTGATAATGTTATTTAGAGTTTGGTCCTTCTCGCACAAGGACGTATTGTTTGATAAATGGACAATGAGAAAGTCAAACTCATAAAACACCATTCAACACAAAAAAACCTTTATTATTAAGATTGTAGAAAAAGACGTGAGAGGTGGACAGGAACCTTATCCCGTTTAAATCAAGTTTGTGCCCTTGTGGTACATAAAAATACCTTACCCTGTATCCATCCACATCAAATTTACCTTTATCCATTGAATTTAAATTTCTCGGCGAAGGGAAAAGAATTAAATTGCATTAACTGAATCAATTACCCAATGTTGACCGTCGGTTTTCACCTTGAACCGGTTTATATCAGCGAACAAATTCACTGCTCGTCTCACTCCTCGGTTATCTGCCGCAGTAAAATAATCGTGCCCGAAAATGACTCCGCCCGGTCGGAGGATCCGAACTGCCCGGTTTATATCGGCCCAGGCCGAGTTGAAGTCGTGGCCGGCGTCTACCTCCACCAGATCCGCCTTCACCCCCCACTCGCACAGCTTCTCTAGAGCCGAACCGGTCGAGAAAGGGACCGGCAATATCGAACCGGTCCGGTTCGCGTTAACCACGTTCTGCATAAACTGGTACAGAAGCAAAGCGTCGCCGTTTACCATTCCCACGTCCTTGAATCGGTCACGGAACCCGGGCCATCCCCTGAAATCGTCGACGCAGAGAATCTGCGTCTCCTCGAGGCCGAGTCGACTCGTGAGATTCGCCATGTGAATCGCCGACGCGCCGAGAAATGTCCCGACTTCGACGACCGTACGGGGCTTTAGTCGCCTGATGAGATTCTCAAACACGGCTCCGTACGAGCCCCAGCCCTTGACACGTGTCCGCCGGAGGAGCTCCGAGGCGTACGGCGGAGGAAAGGCGACGTACGGAGATGTCCCGTTAAAGACCCGGTCGATGATCGTTTTCCGGACGAGTTCGGGCGGGACCGGGTCGCCGCACCGAGTCGTGACGCGGAAGTTGTCCATCGGGCACTGGGATTTTCCTGTGCAGCCCTTCCGTACAGCCCCCGACGGCGGTGGCGGCGGCGGGCGACGGTAAGAGGCTGAAAAGTAGCCGAGGGCGTAGGTTAGTAGGAGGATGATAACGTAAGCCGTCTTGCCTTTCATAAACTTTGACATGGACTGGATAGTATCAGGATTTCGAGTAAAACGCCGCTCCTCCTTCATTGTTGGATTTTTCTGGGGGACTGTACAAGAACATAGGAGTGGCCTCTCTCTCTCTCTCTGTATATATACACACACACATGTGATTATATTGAATAACATATTATTCACTTCGTAGTGAAGATTAAATAATTGGATCGTGGAAATGAATTATTATTGATATTCGGTGGGTAATTTTGTTTACTAAATTGTTGGTTAGTTGGAAGGGTTACGTGTATAGAAAGTTACATTTTCATTTTGGTACAAACATGCTAAAATAAAAACTAATGTAATTGTTGAATATATGTAATAGTTAATTAAAGAATTAAAAATAAAAGTAGGAAGAGGACATAGGAAAGGGGGTTAGGATGTCATCACCTTGTAGTCGTTGATGTTTTAAAAGTTATCATTCGTTTATCTAATGCTTATGTAGGTGAAGAGACAAGTCAAATAAAAGTTATATATATATATATATATATGTATATTTGCTAATATTTGTTTTATGCAGTTTTCGCATTTTTTTGTCCCCACGCTTTTTGGTTGTGTGGAATTTTATAATTTTTCTGGCGAACTTTATTTTATATTAAGGATAGAAATATATAAATTTGTTTTCAATAGAAACTTATATATATGGATTACATATATTTTAATGCAAATGATTTGCGTATACAAATGAATCAAAACCGTAATTTTTTTTATTCCTTTACATATTTATTTGATAAAATAGCCCGCACGTATTATCCGTAAATGATATAACACTTTCCAAATATCTAACTCTTTTTTTTTGGATCACAATTCTCGGTCGATTTAAATATTGGGTTTGCTTGGGCCGTTATTAAAACAAGGCCCAACAGTGATGACGAGATTTGGGTGTTGCAACAGTAGAAGTTGTATAAAGGCCCCCTCATTTTCAAATCGATACATTTAGACCCCAATACTTTCCGCAAGTACATCTCGTGCCCCATTTTCCCGACCGTGAATTAAAACCGAGTGGGGGTCGTTTCATACACTAGACTAAACCGGTTCTGATACCATACAGAACCGGTTAACAACCTTCATTTTCAAAACACTACCGTAATAATATCATCGTGAAAGAAACCAACAACTAATTGGACAGATTAAGGCTAGAAGGGCATGAATCCTAATATCAACAAAACCAAATTCATTCGGAACCTTTTCTCTTTCATTTTCCATCTCCTCCACTATGCCCGGCATCAAATCCTTCTTGTTTGTTCCCACCACGATCATCGTTCCGGCCCACTGCTGCCACGGAACAAAGGTACATCATCAGTCCACCGGTAAATGTGAGAATCCGATATCTGAGTTTATGAACATGTATCAGTGGCATGAGAACGGAAAATAGAACGGATCATAACCACAAAATGACGTAGGACGCAATTCACCATTTCCGCCGCTTCCAAGAGAGGTTTCAGGGTGGTTGGTCGTGGCAGGTTGGGGCCCGTTGTTGACGGCCAAGGGTCCGATGCCAAAGTGGCCATGAGCAGCGGCTTGTGGGTCCTGCAGCTGCTGAAGATGAGGACTGTTGAATTGTAAAGGACCCCTCGAAGGGAATATCACGTTGGGTGGCTGCTGCTGCTGCATGAAGTAGGCTGGTGGTCTCATTCCAGGATGAGGTGCCATCTGAAATATCATATCACATCATATCATATCATGTTGGAAAAAATGCTACATAGTTTGAGTAATTACCACCCGACCTGGGGAGCCACCGATGGAGCTGGCGGTTGCTGAGGCTGAGCATCGGCAATCGCAGCCAGATACATCAAGTTCTTCTGGAGCACAGCTTGATACCTGATTTATATGTATATAACATCATTCTCTGCTACAGGGCATAAGAGAAGCTTGGCACTCGACGGTACAAAATATTCGAACGGCAAGTACAGTTTTCGGAAAGGGCCACTTACTGGGCACACTCCGCAAGTTTCCCAAGATTCTGACTTTCCAAAATCGCCATGATCAGTTTTTTGTTCTCATCAAGGTACTGCATCAAGCAACAAGTGGATCAAAGATGTGGAACTTGAATGACAACACGCACGTGCATACACACAATCCATTTACAGCATATGGAAGACGAAGTGAACCCAACAATTCATAAGGGAGACAGAGTCATGAGATCCTTTGAACTGAAATGGAAGATTCAAACTACTACTAGAACCACTTACCCTTTGAGAATGTCCTTAAACAACAATCTATCAGCGGAAGTAACGCCTCGTTGTCATCAGTCTTTCCAGAACTTTCTCATTTCTTCCAGAAATAAATTTAAAACAAAACTGCGAATCGGAAACAAACTATGTTTTTTAACCCATCATTCGAGAGAAAAGCCATCCGCCCATTAGAACAAACAACTACTAAAAAACACAGAGAGCAGTTATGGTTGTCTCCTTTACAGGCAAGCGGACCGCACCCGTTTTTCCTAATCCAGTGAAACTCTACAAGGATTAATCAAACATTTCGGAAACCATGGCAGCCAAATTTCACCAAGCGGCCACAAAAACACGAAAGCCAGTAAAAGAAAGTGAATATCTACGAGCTAATCGATTTGCCCATCACGTAAACCATAAAAAGACAACAGTAACAGACAAGAAAACAAACACAGAGAGAGAAAGGAGGGACCTTTTGGATCTGTTCGGTTGTGATGTTTGTCGGAGGAAATGAAGGAACCATTGGAATCATCTGCGGAGTTTGCTGCATCTTGTGGACCTGTCTTTAAAACTTCGCCGTCGCCCAATCACCCAAACCCTAATTTCGTCCACTCAAAAAACCTCGAAATTTCACCAACTCAACTCGATCAGATGGTAAATTGACAAAAGCCCAATGCAGGAAAGGGACGTAATACTCAACAGAAATTTTGATTTCCCTGCAATTTAAAGACTTTTGGTTCGTTTGGACATCGGCGAGGTTTCTGGAACTTGAGGCAAAAAAAGTCACAGAAAACCTTTGTTGTTTTGCAAATATGATCGACTTTCTCTCACCAAACGCAGTGCGACAGATTTCGACTACCCCCCGACGAAGACACTAAGAAAAAGGACAGAAGAATGAAGTTTTAGAAAGAAGAAAAAAAACAATGGAGGTGAGGTGCATCATGGGATTGAAGATTTTGTAATTAAAAAATTTACTAACCTCCAAAATCAATCAGAAACCAATAGAAAATTAAAAGAAAACAAAGTGAGAGACGAAACGGAAAAAGGACAAAAGAAAATGATGGCGAGAAAAAAACATACTCCCATCCCATCTCATGGAGATGGACAGAACTGGTCTGAACTATCCCTAATTGTTCCCAAGTTGTCGCATTATAGACAAAAGGAATAAAGTACCGCAAGTTTTATTTATGGATCGTCTTTCGTTGGGCTTTATCTAATGTAAGTCATAACTGGGCCGTATGATTCGGCCCGAATCTATGACCCAAATTAATGGGCCTTTTAACGATTTTAGATTCTGTAGTGGTCCTGAAGGCGGGCTTTTGAAAGCGGTTGTTCCCTCCGGCCTGGACCCGACGGCCCGAGCCGACCGGGTTGGAGATGTATCTCTTCCGGGTCATGGGGCCAATCTTGGTCATCCTTCTCTTGGTGGGTTTTATCAGGAACGAAGAAGAACTTGGAGCAGGTGGGTTTATCTCACACTAGTTCTGGATCCCCCTCCGTATTGTAATCACTCCTGTCCTGTCATTGCATCATCGCCCAACACTGTTGCTCCAAAAATTTTCAGTCTCCCCCTTTCAAATTTGCAGCCCAGTCAACGTCTTAAAGATTTCTTCTCTTGATGACAGAAAGCGATTAAAGAATCCAAGAAGCTCAAGGGTTTTTATTATCAGGATGGCCAACTTCAAGCGAATCTGGCTTCAGAAAGAACAAAAATAGAAGGACAAAATCTATACAAAATCGCAATCTGTAATCACCTAAGTCTAAACCATTTTTGCTCTCATCTAACTTCGGAATCTTGGCCCGGAATGATCACTAGCCTCGGGGTCGTCGGTGTCATCGCAGACGTGAGAGAACAGGACGGAGGCGGAAACGACGACCGGGGTGAGGAAGAGGACAAGACCCGGAGGGACCATCCATAGATGACTGTTCTTGGGATGGTATTTGTAAAGCCACCATGTCAGAATCAATCCTCCACACAGACTCGTCATTAGCAAGCTCACGCATATTACGTATATGCTCTTCTTCTTCTTCTCCTCCTCCTCCTTCTTCATCATCTTCATCCTACTCGCGTTCATGACTCGTTGACCTTCCAATTCCATTCCTGATTCCACCAGCGTAAAAATGATTCGGACCCGGGAAGTGAAATCCCAAACAGAGATTAGGGTTTCGATGGAAACGAAGGAATTAAAGAGAAAGATTTTATCTTGAAAAGAATCACGATCTTTGACAATGAGCGTCCACGGCTTCTACATATAGATTTTATAGACGTTTGGGTTTGGGTTTGGGTTTGGGTTTAGCTTCACGTAGTTTTTATTCGGGGAAACATGTGGAGGAAAGCGATCCGTGTGGGGAAGGAAGGCTCGCGCTTTGCTTTACTTCCTTCGTTTTATCCTTCACCAAGTAATTATCAAACTCACCCCCAAATCATTATACATATATATATAAACATATATTTAAAATTGTAGTAAGTTATTGCATAAATTGGTTTTTAATTGTTCGTTGACCTTAAGATATTGCTTAAACAATCATATAAAAAATTAAAATATATAATTACATATATTGCACCAAAATTGACTTAATACACGTAATCCATTTTATTTTCCCTGTGGTTTCTCTTAAGATAAGTGGTCGGGCGCCAACTTAAAAGGGTTGCTTTCAGTGGAACCAGAATAGCAATACTATACGCTTTTTTTTTTTATCATATTATATTTTAATTAGATTTATAATAATTATTATAAATGTTCCTGAGGAAGACACGAGCTGGTCCGATTTTATATGCATATAAATATACCACTCTCTCTCTCTTTTACTAATAAAGGCAAAAAAGAGAATCCCCCAAAAGCAAAATTGTGAGTCACCGCTTGTTAGGTCCATCTAACATCTGAATTTATAAATTGGCTAATGGTTTAATATGGAAAACCGAAAACCACATTTGAAGTTTTTAGAATCCAAAAAATTTAAAAATTATTATTCAAGTTTTTATAAAAAGTGTTTTTTTCTCGAAATTTGGAAAATTATTTTGGTAAAATAATCAATAAAAACCAAAAACTATATTTTTTAGATTTATAAATATTATAGAACCTAAAAACCAAAAATCCAAAAACTAAAATAAAAAGTTCAAAATAAAAACCATCCAAGAATTGGGAGCTCATAATATAAAATGATTGGGCCTTTTGTTTTTTGTTTTTGCAAAATAGGCTTTACTAGTACCCATCGTTTGGGCCCATTTGAGCCTGTTTGTGAATAGTATCTTACGGGGCCTTTGGGCCCATTATGGCCCATTCATCATTACCATTTTTGTGTGGTGCGGTGTGTGTGGTGGAAAATCCAACCCAAAAGAAGGGATATACGATGAATAGATTTGATTTAAATTCGTGGACCAAAACTACTGCGACGAACCATAATGTAGCCAACCGCCAAGCACATCAATCTCGAAGTGTATCCAATTTCTTCGAATGAAAGTGACGCGATTTTTGGACCGACTCAATTATTAAAGAAGTTTGTTCAATTGCGTTATTGCCTTTGCTTCTTCGTAATTCATTTTTTTTTTGTATGCATCATCATTAAAAAAAACAAACAAAGGGAAAATGACAAGAAAAATACCTTATCTTTGTTAAGTGTTTGGAGTCTTATCTGTAAGGATATGTACGGGTGGGGCTCAGTAACCACAACTGGTCATATCAGCCCTCACATGGAATGATCTACGAATCATAATATAATACTCAGCAGTGTAATGTGAATATCATGCATATTTCATAAAAAAAAATGCATATATATTGCATACTACAATAATTTTTCTCTAATGCAGTTCAGTGTCCATCATCTATATATATAAGCATTTTATTATATATATATATATATATATATTAAAGTCCATGTAAAATTCGAGCACTGGGCTGGGAGCCTGGGGACTAACACACGGGACAGACGCGGAATGATTAGATCCGCCTGGGACCCACAGAGGACCCGCGCGTGGATCGCACTCTCTTCTGTTTCCTCCTTATAACCTCCAAAGCCACATGCAAAGAGAGGGAGACGGAGAGAGAGTCAGGGGGAGATAGCTATTCCGACGATACGACGTCACCGGTGATTAGACTGTCCATATTGTTCGAAGGATATCGAGCGAAATTCTTGTCGGAGAAGAAGGGAAAACAATGAGCGGGTCATCGAAGAGGCCACCGGCGAAAAGGACGCGGGTGGGGAAGTACGAGATGGGACGAACCCTAGGCGAAGGAAGCTTCGCGAAGGTAAAATTCGCGAGGGACACGGTCACCGGAGATCTCGCCGCCATTAAAATCCTTGATCGGGACAAGGTCCTCCGTCACAAAATGGTCGAACAGGTCAGTATACACGTATATATGTATACCACTGCAGGAACGAACGTTGGCAATTTTTTATCAGTTGTTTAATCTCCAAGATATTGTTTAATTTCGTGATTGATGAGGATTTGAGACCCACGTGTCCGAAATTATCCACCTTTAATCACAAGATCTATTTTAATAAGGGAGATTCATTGGTGTAATTAACGCTTAAAAAAGTCCCTTTGAGCTGCTGACTGCTATCCTAATCAGAAACGAAACCACGAGTTTACATGGATGTGAAGTTGGGTGAATTTCTAATAAAGGGCGCAAATCTTTTCTGTACGAACTTCCCTGGAAATTGGATTCTTGGGGTTTTCGTTTGGAAATGGGAAGATTCCAGACAAGAACAAACCTACTTGTTTTGAGACTAGTTTCAAAGCATAACAGCTGGGTTCCTTAAGGAATGTATGAGTAGTAACAGTTGTGTATTATGTGCGGTTGAGAGTTATAACTTATAAGGAAGATTTTTTAGATGTGATAAAGATGTATCTTGGCAGATTAAGAGAGAAATATCGACAATGAAGCTGATCAAACACCCAAATGTGGTCGAAATCATTGAGGTATGAAGCTGATTTTGAGCTTCATTCTCCGTATTTATCTTTTCTTTCTGATATGTAGTAGTTAAAACTGAAAGGTCGTTCCTTTGTGTGGCACCTTACAATGTATCCTTCTTGTGCTGTCGGTGGATAGGTTATGGCGAGCAAAACGAAGATCTACATTGTTCTTGAGTTTGTCAATGGCGGGGAACTCTTTGACAAAATTGTAAGAAACCAATCTATGTGACTGCCCTTTTTCTTTTATTTTTTTTATTGAACTCGCCCAAGATGTAGTTTCCTACTTTGTTACTCAGCATCATCATTATCAAGATTCTGTATCTTCAGGTTATGAGATGTGTTCCTACTTTGTTACTCTCCACCATCATTGTCAAGATTCTGTATCTTCAGGTTTTGAGATGTAGTTTCCTACTTTGTTACTCTCCACCATCATTATCAAGATTCTGTATCTTCAGGTTATGAGATGTAGTTTCCTACTTTGTTACTTTCCATCATCGTTATCAAGATTCTGTATCTTCAGGTTATGAATTTTGTCATCTTAGATTGAATGGTGTTGCATGATTCTGCTGTTTCAAAGATTGTGAATCTCTTTTATTGCGTAGGCCCAACAAGGGAGACTTAAAGAAGATGAAGCACGGAGATATTTTCAACAGCTCATCAATGCGGTGGATTACTGCCATAGTCGAGGTGTCTACCACAGAGATTTGAAGGTTTCTTTCGGAAGTTCTGTGTTTTTTCATTTCGTATTATATGGTACTAAATGTCAAGCCTGTTCGCCTGATCGTAACATGCTACATGCTGCAGCCTGAGAATCTCATTTTAGATGGAAATGGGATGCTAAAAGTGTCTGATTTTGGGTTAAGCGCATTATCACCGCAAATTGGGGTAAAGACGTTTTCATTTTAGATGAACCATTGATCACAAGTAGCTTCTGAAATCAAGCAATACACACAACATACGTATGTATATACGTATTGTGTGGTGATGTTCTAAGCTTTGGTTATACCAATGCAGGGAGATGGTTTGCTTCATACAGCTTGTGGGACTCCTAACTACGTTGCTCCTGAGGTATTCATTCCGTATTCGCTATATTTCAGCCTCTAGAGGGAATATCTGCAGCATTGTTTAAAGACTAACAAATCATTGCTGTGTATTTGGAGTTGTGGGCAGGTGATTTCGGATAAAGGCTATGACGGTGCATCAGCAGATGTCTGGTCTTGTGGAGTCATTCTCTTTGTGCTCATGGCTGGTTACTTGCCTTTCGACGATCCTAACCTCATGAATTTGTACAGACGTGTAAGCAGAGAATCTCTCTGCTTTTGCTTCTTTATGTACACACATACATTCACTAATATTCTCTGTGGTGTAAAATTACAGATTTGCAAGGCCGATTTCGCTTGCCCACCATGGTTCTCATCTGCAGCTAGGAAACTCATTGGACGTATCCTTGATCCCAACCCTCTTACAGTAAGCATTCTTAACACATTTCTTTCTTGCAAACGAGTGCCAATGTGCATTCTCTGATCCGATCCATGAGACTGATTCTTGTTAATCATGATAACCCGCATGTTCAAAGACCAAATGGAACTAAAGCATTTGACATTACACTAACACTAGTTTCTTGTTGTAGAGGATAAGAATTGCGGAAATACTGGAAGATGAATGGTTCAAGAAATCGTACAAACCGCCTTGCTTTGAGCAGGATGACGAGGATGTAAACCTCGATGATGTAGATGCTGCGTTCAGTAACTCCAAGGTAAAATAGTGTTTGTAGATTTCTGTCAGATCCTATAACATCCGAGTGATAACGATTATTACTTACAAGTACTGTGGCCGCTCTGCTTCTGTAGGAATGTCTTGTGACAGAGAGGAAGGAGAGACCGGAATCCATGAACGCGTTTGAGCTCATCTCCAGATCAAGGGAGTTCAGTCTCGAAAATCTGTTCGAGAAGCAGAATGTATGTACCTTGAAAAAAATCTATTCCACATCACAAAAAAATTAAGAAAGTTAAAAAGGATTATGATATATTATGATTTCGTGGATGTGATAACAGGGACTTGTAAAGAGAGAGACGCGTTTCACTTCTCAACGTCCGGCAAACGAGATAGTGTCAAAGATCGAAGAAGCCGCAAAGCCATTAGGCTTCAATGTCCACAAACACAACTACAAGGTAAATATTTTTCTTCCACATGCCTTGTCTCAGTTGATGAAAGCTCCCAACTTTACTAAAGTCTGAAACTTTTTTGTATGAATGAAACCCAGATGAAGTTGAAAGGAGATAAAAATGGTCGCAAAGGTCAGCTATCCGTTGCTACAGAGGTAAATTAAAATCCTTTTTTTTTTTTTGCACTTCTGGGCTCTGCTTAAACCCAATGATACTTTTGGTGTAAGGATAACCGTAGGCCGGTTTTTGTTTTGGGTTCGGTTTAATTTGTTTATGGTTTGGATTCCTGATCCTTGCTCGGTCGATCGATAATGCTAATCAGGTGTTCGAAGTGGCACCATCACTGCACGTGGTAGAGCTCAGGAAAACAGGCGGTGACACACTCGAGTTTCACAAGGTTATCTCCCCCGGTTTAATGTGTTGGTTTGATTGAACCGAACCGGTCTGCTCAAACCTTCTCTCTCTTTCGTTTGTTCTTGCAGTTTTATCAAAGCTTCTCGTCAGGGCTAAAGGACATAGTGTGGAAAACAGAAGAAACTTCCGAACAACAACGTTGACCGCGCGCTTGGAACTAGTGAATCTCAAGCATCGTGTCTTTAACGGGTTTTGTTCATTCCCCCGTATTGTCTAACCGCTAGATCTCCCATTCATTAAAAAAAAATGGGCAATAAGTTTTTTTAATGTCAATAAAAACTAAGGCTTTGATCTCTGTATAAATCGGTAAATAAAGATTTGGTTACAAATATTTCATAGTTAGGAAAAATGCATCACCGATCTTATCACAAACCAACGGACCTCATCACTTTCAGAGACATTGGGCAAATGTTAACACAGCATGTGCCATGTGTGCATTAATTACAAAACCTAACATACAACGAAACCCAAAGGGACATTGTCCCTTGCCCATTTTATTTTCTATTGCAACACACACGTGAAATCGAGCATGGTTTGACCAAGAGACTTTTGAGACAAGAACTGTGTCAACGGATTTGTATCCAGAAAAAAAAAAAAAAAAGGAACGTCGAGAAACGTGGAAGAACACGAGCCTCGTTCTTTGGTGTTCGGTGGTTTCTAGTTGGCAGGTTAAGCCACTTTTAATGCTGCGGCATGTCCTAACTAAACAACCTATTTCACACGTGCCAATTCCATGCAACGTACGTTAACATTATTGTTTTACGTTTTTTTCAACATGCATGTTGATGATGATTGATATCCTTATCAAGTAACATGCATATTATATTAGGATAATAATGCTTATCGGATTAACGTATATTAAAACGCTTTGTATGGAATGGTAATGATTCATATATTATCATGGCTATAAATGTTGTATTTGGACGTTTATTTAAGCTCGTGGTCTAACTAGTTGTAAAACGGACGAATTTGGCACGTAGGTTGGCTAACGTACTTACATATATATATATATATATGCGGAAACTACACCTTAAGTTCAGTGTTTAAGGGCGACTTTAAGATAATATTTTTTGACCGTATCTTGGTACAGAAAAAACACTGTGATTTCCATTTGAATCTGATGCGGTTGGCCGGTTCACGTAAACTTCTATATATATATATATATATATATATTGGCAACACGGTGAAACCCTAATAGTTTTTTTCCCCATACAAATTGATATTTTACCCAATTGTAAAAAAAAAAAAGAAGCTCGGACACGGTAGCTGACCGACCGTTTCCCTTTGACCTACGCTTCACAGGCCTTTATTTTCCGTATAATAAATAGTTTTTTTTTCCATTGCAAACTTTATTGTTATAGTGTTTGTGGACCCATTTTGGACACCTTCACAACATGCAACTTGTATGTCCAAAAGCGATAATCCGCTACCAATATACAAATTCAAATCCAAAGTGGATAACGTTGTTTGGTAAACTATGTTATTAGAAAGATAATTTCATAAGAATAAGGACTGTGGCGCTCCTTTAAATATGGACTTGCATGATAAATATCATGATAATGGGACACTCGCATGCAATTGAGAAAGAGTTAATTAAAGATATTGAATCCCAAATCTCTCCAAGTACCGTATATGAATATTATTTTCCATATGCTTTTATTTCCTACGGTTGTATGGGAAATATTTTTCCGTTATTGTGAATATTCTCTAACCGGCGTTATAAATATTTAGGATTTTCTTAACTTTTCTGCTTCTTTTTCCATGATGCGTATAAGAGACTCCATTTCGTCCCTAGTAAAATGTACAAAAAAATGTTTCTTGATCCAATCCATGCATTGGTACGTAACTCATTGAATTGGGTTGCATTGCGTTCACATTATCAAACAAAGTGGAGTAATAATAATATAAAATTGGACATTTCATAATATATAATATATTATGGGTTCATATGGAAGAGTTAAGGGGACTTTAATATCAAGGTCCCATGCATACTTCTCTTGGGGGTGGTTGAGCTAATATCCATCTTTTCTCTGAACCGCCCACCATTAATTTCAATTAAATCAATATATTAATTTTTTTTATCGTCTTCTTCTTCTGTCGTAGCTTTCTTGCACTTAATAGCAACGCCTTATATCTCTCCTCCCCCACCTCCACTCCCCCCCGATATCCTCGAAATTTTCCTTCTCGTTTTCTCTCTCTTTCTCTCCAACCAAACAGACAAGATAAGCTGTTTCTAGCTAATGTAAGCGTGTAGGCCTTCGCCTTTCAATTATTCTGCTCGACAAATTTCATTTCCCGACTTCTTCGTATACATTCTTTTGCTTCGTTCAAATTTGATTTTCCATTTTGAAAGAATTGGACCCACCGCCATTTTTCTTTCCAAATAAACTTCCCTTTTTTTATTTAATTTATATACACACAATCAAGTGTATTTTCCGTTCTCTAAAAACCCATCTTCTTGGACATCAAGATCTTGAGAGCACAAGGCCATTTGTGAGATTACAAAAAAAAAATTATAATGGAGAGAAACGACAGTATAGAGATGGATCAGGAGAGACTGACGGCAGAGATGGCGTTCACGGATTCTTCGTCGGCCGTTATCAGAATCCGGCGACGTTTACCGGATTTCTTAACGTCCATCAAGCTCAAGTACGTGAAACTAGGGCTCCATTACTCTTGCAACCCTGCGACCATCCTTTTCTTCGCCGTTATTCTACCGTTAAGCGGAGCGGTCCTTGTTCAGCTTACCGGTCTGAAACTCGATACGCTCTCCGAGTTATGGTCTAACCCGGCGGTTCA